TTAATATTAAACCCTTCTTTTCAAGTTTTGTTTTGTTTTTTTCGGGGGGGGGGAGCGAGAGAGCACATGCGTACATACAATCTCACGAACCTGAGATCATGATCTGAGCTGAAATCAAGAATCAGATGCTTAAGTGACTGAGCCACCCAGGCGCCCCTTCTTTTCAATTTATAGTGAGGATTGTTAATAACAAAAAGCATAAGAAAATCACACTTACTGTAGATAGTCAGTTTTATGTCCTTGGCTTGTTTGCCAACTGCATTAGACACAGTGCACTGGTAGCGCCCCTTGTCACTTCTTCGTGCATCCTTTAAATGCAGAACTTGTCCCCTGTCTAGAAGTTCAATGTTAGGATCCTCTAAAAATAAAGGCCTAGAAAAAATAAATTTTATTCTGTGGGTCCATTTTTATTTTCCTATGTTTCCTCTCTTATTGAGCACAGCAAAAATCGTTAATCATAGGAGTTTAAAAATATGAATCAAAGTTGTTTTTTTTCTGTATGACTCTAAAAGAAATGCAATGATGTGATCAGTACTCCTATTCAGAAAAATGGAATTATTAAAGCACTTTACTAATGAAAGTTAGATAACTATTACTTTGAGATGAAAATTCCCTTCATGTCAAACTTAATTGTTGAATATTAATAGAAACCTGGTAGTGTCATTATTTGTTTCAGTCTTCCTTGTCCTGCTTATTTTCCTTCTTTTTTTGTCTGCATAGCTAAAATTTCTATCATCAGTTAGTAAAGTAAAACTAAGAGTATAGAAGCTTGAAGCAAAGCAATATTATTTTTAAGCCAATATCATTATGTACCTGGAAAAGTATTCACAGTAGAATGAATAGTTACTACTTCCTAAAGGCAATGCTCATGCCAACTTTTCTAAAAAGCGGATATTGTAACAAATATGAATGCTTTCATATATAATCATAAATACTCAAAGATATTTATGCCAAAAGCAGCTCCTCTCTAGTTGTCAAGGAAGTCTTTTTCTACTATGTAGAGTCATTTATTGACTCACTTTACATAATTGGCAGCAGCTTTATGAGATACTTGAAACATGGTTATTAAAGTCTACAATATCCTACGGTTCATACCTTTAAAATCCACTGATCTTCTTTCAGGAAGACCCATAGCTAGTTTTTAAAAATTTGCAGTGACTTAGCCATGATAAATAATTAGATGCACTGCTCTATTAAAAGCCATGAGTCAGACTACACGATTAAATGGAAGCACATTTAATCGTCTACAGAAGCACCCTTCACTATTTCTTGGTATGACACTTTGTAGGAAGTTCTCAAAAGCTAAGAGAATAAAGTACCTTAATTTATTGCATCTTAACTGTTTAAAGGAAGTGAATACTTGATAATATTACTCAAATTTAAGTAACTTTAAAACTTGTATTGATTGTTAATTATGCAAGTAACATAAAAATTTAAACAAAAAAGTATTATAATAAGAAAAGGTTCTCTTGATTTATTACCCCTAATGTGAGTCTTCTCTCTAGACATCTCACCATTCTAAGTTTGGTTTGTATTCTTCCACATGTTTTTTTCTAAACATTTTCACTCTTAAATGTCTTTCCAAAAGAATCTAGTTTGTAAATGGTATTGCTTTGTTCTACTTCTCTTTTCACTTAGCAATAGCTGTAGAGATATTTTTGGTGCCTATAGCTTGATCTTACTTTTTTTAATTGCTGCACAGTATTTCACAATATGACTATGCTGTAAGTTTTCTACCCATCTCCTAATGTTGGGTATTAGGCAGTTTTCACTTTTCTGACACCACAGTGTTTTGGGAATATTACCTACTGTGGTACAAGCCCTCCTGTGGATCCGCATGAATTCTTACTTCTCTCTCCTAAATCCTGAAAGTGTATTTGCTACATTACAGCATAAGGGCGTTCAAATTTTAATAGATATCAACAAATTGCCTTACAGAGTACTAATTTACATTCTCTGCAACATAGTATTACATCCTGATTTCCCACATTCTAGCCAACACTTGACATTGTTCAAACCTTTATATATTTATTTATATACTTATTTATTTGCCAATCTGACCTGATTTTTGTTTATATTCTCCAAATTATTGAGAGTGAGCCTCTTTTTCTTTTTTCTTCCAAGTTTTATTTAAATCCCAGTTAGTTAACATACAGTGTAATATTTGTGTCACATGTAAGATTAAGTGATTCATCACTTACATACAACACCCAGTCCTCATCATAACAAGTGCCCCCCTTAATACCCATCATCCATTTAACCCATCTCCCTGCCCACCTCCCCTCCAGCAACCTTGTTTGTTCTCTATAGTTAAGAGTCAGCTTTATTGTTAGCCTCTCTTTTCTTCCCCCTCTATGTTCATCAGTTTTGTTTCCTAAGTTCTACATATGAGGGAAATCATATAGTATTTGTCTTTCTCTGACTGACTTATTTCATTAGCATAATACTCTCTAGAGCATCTTTTAATACATTTATTGCTTAACTACAAATTTTTAAATTGCCTGTTTATATCCTCCATTCATTTTTCTGTTGTCTTTTTTATTGATTTATAAAAAAAGTTTGCATACTTTACTTATACGTAGTTGCATACTTTATTCTATACAATGCAAATCTTTACTCTTAAGTCTTAGACACCTGCCTCAAAAACGATAATAATACTCGAACTGTGACTATGCTGTGAAAAATAAGCTCTCAAGAACAATACGAATCACTGCAGCCATATCCGTGTGGGCAAACCTCAGTAGCCCTTGAACATGAAGTCTGGGAAATATCTGTTGCTCTTCTGTGACAGTTCCTTTTTTACATTTATAGCACTAGCTTAAGTATTCATCTTGTCATAAAAATTTTCTTTTTTCATAAGTCAAATAGTTCCATGTAAAGGCAAAATTATCTCTGCATTTGAAGCTTGCATTTTTCATTTTTTATTCTAAGCCTTTGGGCAGAATATTTAGTGTACAGTAAATTTGAGTGCCTCTATGTTTCTAAAATAAATTCCCGGCATTTATAAAGTTCTTATAATTCACAAGAATAAAAGGTATTACAAGACTTTGAGACCAGTTTTTGAATAATATTGTTTTTCCTTCATGTTCATTTAATAATATCTGTGTTTAAAATAATTGAAAGGGAGAAAATCCATAAGCATTTACACATCTATTTCCTATCAATTGGACCCTTGCAACAAATAGAGAAAGGGTACTCACTTGCCATCTTTGAACCAGTGAATAACGGGGAAAGGGGTGCCTTTGACTTGGCATTCGAGGGTGATGTCATGGTTGAAGACAACAGAGACTTCATTTGGGGAGTTGGCACCTATTATGGTGGGTGGGACTTGAACAAAACATTTTATCATGAATATCTATGACTTCACAAAAAAGTGGGGGATAGGAAGAGCAGATTATTATTGACTTCTACAGTATTTCAATAAGATTTTAATATTACAAATAAAATACCACACAATAATACCTTTTCATATTGCATCTGTGGACGCACCCAAATGCTAAATTTAAATATATGAACACATTCATGAAAGATTCACTAGCAGGACAATTACCTGCAAAAACTAACTCATTTTGAGAAGTGCAAAAGGAGTTGAGAATACAAGTGAGCAGTGAAGCTCATATAATGCAATTTATTACTGTTATACATTTTAGATAACAAATGACATCAATATTAATTTTATAATGTTCAAATTCTACATATTACAACATAGTGCTGTTTGAAGTATATTACCCTTATTTCTTTTAAAGGGCCTCTATGCTACGATCGGATGGGAGACCTATGAAAATGACTATGCTAGTTTTTATTCTCAGAATTACCAAAATATTGAAGAATTCCTGTACGCTTCCCTGACTTTGAAATCCTCTCCCTTCATATCATGTTAAGATGTTTGGTCTTCATCTTCAGGGCAATGACCAACCACCAAAGCAGCTCCCTCAGTAGAGGAGGGGTGTGATCAGATTTGTGTTTTAAGACCACATTGGCTGGGGGATTAAGAATGGATTTGAGTGGCAAAGAGTGGATGAAGGGGAGCAGTTCAGAGGTTACTACATTAATTCGGCTTATAAATGATGATACTTTCACAGTTAGAAATGAAAGGAAGTAGATAGTTTAACATTGGATTAGGAAGTAGACTTGACAGGATGTAGATATATTTAAGGACTTGGGGAGAGGTAGGTGGAAAGAATGAGTGCTAGGTTCTAGCAGAGAAGCAAGTGGGTGGATGGACATGTTTGGCACTGTGATGGGGATCACTGAAGATAACCCCAGATGAACAGATGTTCACTGAGACCTTTCTGTTTGATATGCCCCTAAGACATCAAGTTAAGACCTGTGGAAAAGATGAGATATATATTCTTAGAGCTCAGAGGAGAAGTCTGAGCTGGAAATAAAAATTTGGGAGTCATCAGCACACAGAATTCAAAGTAAATGAATGCCAAGAGAAATAATGCCAATGTGACTAATGATAGAAAAAGATTACTTAGTTTGTTTTTTATAGCCTGAACTTAAATATTATAAGAATAATTTTGGTAGAGGAAATGCAAAGTATTTCAGGCTCTGAGAAGACTAATGAGAGGGATTATTTTTATGCTGAAGCAGCTTAAAAATGGTTATTTGAATGCAGCATCATTCCCAGACTTAGAAACATATGCCCATATGGATGAACAAAATATTGAAAAGGGAGGAAGTCATTTTATCACAAAGTAAACTTTAATTGGCAAATATAATTTCATAAACTAAAATTATAAAACTTTAGATTTATGAGTACCATTAAAATTTTCTAAATGTCTTATATTTCAATTCCTCTACCCACACTCAGAATTTTCCCCTCTTAATTAGGATCAGGGCAGAGGTGATTTAGTTATGAGTTAATTAGAATGCAGGGAAAGGTGCATTTGCTACTTTTCTCCAGTTCAAGTTACAACCTAGCAGCTTCATGTGTCAAGAGCATTAATGAGTTTTACTCTGCATCATCCTGTATAGTTACTCCCCAGAGAATTTACTGCCCACCTAATAGGAGAAATCAACAAGAGTAGTTATTTATAATTTTATGCATAAGATAGTACCAAATATTCACAGACATTTCTATGATAAATAATAAAAAACTTAAAATATTCTATATCATATGATTCCAGTTAACCAATATTAAAGACCAAAATAATGAAAGAGTGAAACAAATGATATTTCTCTTTTCAATTTTTTAATCTCTTTGCTCTTTCATAACTGTCAGCTCCATTCTATTATAAGAAATGCATCTGATAATTGTAGCGTTTTTAAAAGACTGTTTCCCTTACCTAACACATCGATGTTAAAATACTTCTGAGAAGTGCCTGCAATATTAACTGCTTTGCAGGAATATCTTCCTGCATCCTCTGGAGTGACTTTGAAGAGCTTTAATATCTTTCCATTGTTCACAATCTGAATAGTACTGCTTTCAGTCACCTTCAAAGGCCAAAATGGTCAGTGTTATTTCCAATCCCAATACAAATGCACAATTAGGAATTGACGCAGAAGTTTTGTATCATTATTAATAAGAAAGTCACATTTGAATGATTTATTTCAGAGGCAGAGGCAAGGAATTATGCATATTCTAATGTCTTCATTTACCTGGATGTCATCTTTGTACCACATAATGATGGGAGAAGGAGTACCTTCAACTTCACAAAAGAGATTGGTCAGCTGATTGACCAACACAGATACGTTTGTTATTTGTTCTTTATCTTTAATTACTGGAGGAACTGCAAAAAGAGGAGTCAATGTTACTTATGACGTTTCTTTACACAGGCCTTTAGAAAGCAAATTCTAAGATATCTGATAACTAGAAAGGCTGGTCATATTTAAGCACATGTCTTAACATAATATGAAAAATCTTGACCAATATATTTATAAATAACTCTTATTAAAGTTTTACTTTAATTATCAGTTCAGAGTTTTGAAGTGAGGATAAAACTTAGGATAAATTTAAGGGAGAAACTAGTTTCCGCATACCACTCAAAATGTAAACTGCTAGGGTCTTAATGAAGTCACGAGAGGGACTCACTACTTTGCTGATGGACGTGCATATTTCCCAGTGTCTATGGAAGCCAATATCCATGAAATTTTAAAATGAACATAACCTGTGACTGATGCAAAATGACCAATGTACAAATATTTCATTAAAGTGTTACTTATAATAACAAATAACTGGTAACACCTAAATGTTCATCATTAATAGATGAAGGTTAAGGAAATCAAGGCATAGCCATACAGTGGGATGCTATATAGGTATAAATAAGAGTTAGGAATAATGAATAATCCCCAAGATAGATATTTTAGTAAAATAGACAAGGTGTAGAGTAATGGATACAATGTTCTTCTATATATATGTACCTTTTTATACACAAAAAGAAGATAAAATATATATTCATATTTCCTTGTTACATATAAAATATCTCTGGGAAAATACACATACACACACACACACACACATGAAGTTAATAAATTTCTTTGCTGTTAGGTAGGATAAGTAGATAGCTTAGCTTAGCTTGTGAAACTTTTTGACTATTCTACTACTGAATTTTAAATAAAGTCACAATAAAAAATTACATGAAATTTTAAATCAATCAATTAACCAATGCAATCAGATTATCAATTTCCTTTTGATAACATTCTATTCACATTAATATTAAATAAGCCTACAATGAAAGAATAACTTACATATATGAGAATTAGAAAATGTCACATATTCAAGTATATGATTTTGGTATTTTATCTATGTTTACCATGGACTTTGAGGTTATATTTTTTTTCTGTGGTTCCAGCTTCATTGACTGCGACACAGATGTACTCCCCATTGTCAGAGGGTGTAACAGAAGCAATAACCAACAATGTGCCATCTTCCAAAGTAGAAATACCAGGCTCTCTGCCTGTCAGCTCCCTACCATTCCATATCCATCTGATGGTTGGTTTGGGGGTCCCTAAACAAGAAATCAGAGTTTTGTGGTATTTTATAATAAAATTAGGAATCATTATTAAATACATTGAGAAGAAACAAAATTTTGTTATGACTATAATTTGTACCCTAAGGTACAAATTAATTAATTAATTAAGGTACTTTCAAGATATTTCTGCTGGCATGAAATTTCAAAGAGATTATGGTATTTAATGCCTCTAATTTCTGATCAGTCTCAAGAGACCTGTCTCTACTGTAGAGTTTGAGCGAGTTGTCTTTATCAAGACTTTCAGAAGACAGTAAGCAAACCAAAGCATTTTCTTGTGTGAGTTGATGGTAATTAGTGGGGGAAAAAACTATATTGATCAAATGAAGAGAGTTTGGGGGGTAAAAATAAATGAAGAACAAAAAGCAAGAGGCTATCACAGGAATACAACATAAAGATTGCCCAACCAAGTAGAGTCATAAGTGCAGAAGTGATGCTTTATATAGTAGAGATGAGGAACTTTTACTACTAACACATCTGGTGATCTCATGCTGTTAAACGAAGGACAATAGGAACAATTCTTGACTTTTTATAATGAAAAGAAAATTGGGAAAGCAGAGAGCAAGACTGATTTCCTAGATTTATTTATGAATAACTGGAAATGATGTGCTGATGAGTGGAAGTGATAAAACCATCTTGAAGTATGTAATAGAGCCAAAAGCACATACTGGAAATAGACAAACATTAATTCTATATTAAGAAAGAATTTATTTAGCAAACAATGTGTCAGGCACTAGTCTAAGTACTTTCAAAATTTAATTAATATCTATAAAAATTAAAAAAGGATATTAAATTAATGTGGTTGCCTGACATTGTTAATAATCTTATATTAAAGGATGATAAAAAATATTAAAGTACTGGCATAAATCCGAGAAAATTACAAAAGAATGGCAGAATATATAAAACATGTTTCTAAGGCTAAACTCAAGTTGAGTTAAGGACTTATGAGAGTGACTATGAAAGTTGTATGTGCGAGAAAAAAAAATAAAACAAAAAGATTGGCCTATTTCATTGTGCTAAAAGTAAAAAGCTGACTGATGAGAAAGAGAAGGTGAACGGATGACTGCAGTTTTCTATGTTGTCAAAGAAAAAAGGGGTATAATCATTGCCTCATTTCTTCACATCCCACTCATTACTTTATGCATTTCAATCAGACTTCTCAATGAATGCTTGTTGAGTGAGTAAACGAAAAATTAAACAAACGAGCAAAAGAAGTTGTATTATCTTTTTTTTTTTTTTAAAGATTTTATTTATTTATTTGAGAGAGAGAATGAGATAGAGAGAGAGAGCATGAGAGGGGGGAGGGTCAGAG